CAAATACATGAAATACATGAGGCATAAATAGCAAGGAAAGCATAAATAAAGCTTATCAGTTTCATGTGTTGCTGAAAGTGGCATATACATGATACACATATACAAATACATGAGGCATAAATAGCAAGGAAAGCATAAATAAAGCTTATCAGTTTCATGTGTTGGGATAAATGCTGAAAGTGGATGCAAATCATTCCCTCTGATTCATGAGAGAGTATTATGGTTATCGCTGGATGTTAACCAGGTTTTGTCATGGTTGCTGTTGAATCGTTGTTGTTATATGAATCCATTCTGTCTATTCAAGTCTTGTATTTATTCTAGCTGTATAGTGTAGAAACTGAACAATTGTGCATGCATCCGCTACCATTATGATTTGCATATGAGCCATCATGGTTTCATGGTAAATGGTGAGGATGGTAAAAGGATGGGAAGTCAAGTCAGATTATATAATGCTTTATACTATACAGATTTAAAGCAGCTTCACATTAATGGACAGGAAAATTACAGTGTTACTTTTGCAAAATTCATCAATTATGAAACGCGTTTCATTCAGCAGTAAGCAGTTCTACAGAAGATAATAGTGTCATTATCCAGTGTTGTTCTCATCCAATAGTGTCAGTGCAGTTAAATTGATAATATTACTGAGGATTAATTGTCTTTTAATCGGATTGCTGTCTTAAAACATGCCCATCTTTGCTGTATTTGTGCTGTAGATGTATTAATGTATTCCACCTGAACGAGGAAGGATGTTCAAAACTACACTGTACTTCTAAGAAAAATAGTTTTTCATGGTTTTGATTTGTGGTTGACTATGACATTTGTTCAGAATTTTTGTAATTATTATTTTTTTAAATATATTTTTATGTATTTATTTTTTTAAGCATTGTTGTTCACCTTTGACTATTTTATTTTCAAAGAAATTCCATTTGGATGCCTTTTAAGCACCTGATTAACATCGTAATTTGAAGGATGCAGCAATGACGTTTTCTCCTGAATTTCTTTCAGAATGTTTTTATTCATGATCCTTTCTCCACAGAATTAAAGAAGTTGCGAAACAATGTTAGTATAATGCTGGTTGTTGCAACAGGGCATTATTTCCACATATTTGAGCATTTGGAATGGGAAGACTGGACCGGGGAGGACTAGAATGTGGCCAGATTAGCCTACAGTCATCCAATGTAAACAGCGCTGTCATCAGACTGATGATGTTTTTATGTAATGTTCTCTTTGTGCAATTTTTAGAGGTATGAGTGACCCACAAATCAACGTTTTATGTATATGATTACAAGGCAGAATTCAGAATTAGCAGCATTCAGAATTTGAGTTTGTTTTATAAGGAGGGCCGTCAAGCTCAGCCCATTGTTATTGTCATTCAGTGGACTCAATATCTCATTCAAATTAGTCTTTCATATTGTGTAGGTTCATAGGCTTTTTTTTTCAAACAAAGAATATTATCAAGGGGCCAAGCACCACAGGTAGATAAGTACAGTGGGTATAGAAAAGAATCACCCCCCTTTAAAATAATCACATTTGTTGCTTTGCAGTCTGAAATGAAGACGGACACAGTTTTTGTTTTATCCAGCTGTATTTACTCAGTGCAACTTATAACATCCAAGTGAAAGATATAACACCAACATATCATAAAAAAATAAAAAACAGAATCACTGAGTTGGAAAAAGGATCACCCCCTCGGCTTGTATGGGAGGGTTGCAAGAAAAAACACTCCTCAAGGAAGGCCACGTGCAGTCACGACTGAGCTTTGCCAAAACACACCTTAAGATTCTGAGGCAGATGAGAATAAAATGGAATTATTTGGCCTCAACATCAATCGATATGTCTGGTGGAAACCCAGTACAGCTCACCATCCAAATAACAGCATTCCTATAGTAAAGCATGGAGGTGGTAATATCCTGTTATGGGGGTGTTTCTCTGCAGCAGGGACTGGAGCACTTGTCAGGATAGAAGGAATAATGGATGGGACAAAATACCATCAAATTCTTGAGGAAAATCTGCTGCCCTCTGCCAGAAAGTTGTCAATGGGAAGAAGGTTTACCCAAAGCACACAGCAAAACTGAGCACACAGTGACTGAAGGAGAAAAAGCTGAATGTCCTTGCATGGCCTAAAATCTGAAAATCTGTGGAATGACTTGAAGACTGCAGTCCACAAACGCTCACCATTAAATTTAACTGAACTTAAGCAGTTCTGCAAAGAGGAGTGGGCAAATATTGCAAAGTCTAGATGTGCAAAGTTATTGGAGACATATTCCAACAGACTAAAGTCTGTAATTAAAGCAAAAGGTGGTTCAACAAAATACTGACACAAGGGGGTGATTCTTTTTCCAACTCAGTGATTCTGTTTTTTTTTATTTTTCTGACATGTTGGTGTTACATCTTTCACTTGGATGTTATAATTTGCACTGATTAAATACAGCTGGATAAAACAAAAACTGTCTTCATTTCAGACTGCAAAGCAACAAAATGTGATTATTTTAAAGGGGGGTGATTCTTCCTATACATCTGAGTCTTAGGATGACTTAGCGGAAGGTTTCGGACAATTTTTTGGCATGTTAAGACTTTTTAGTTCTTTAGCACTGTGTTCTGAAAGTATTTAAAAGGTTTGGTGACAGCACCACCTACTTAAAAAAAAAAGATTTTCAACAATTTAGTGTGAAAAAGTAAAAATGAGGAATCTAACAATAACAGTTTTTCTATGGTTGGCCATATTTTCTTGCCAATTGTTTTTGTAAAATATTGTAGAATCTTTTCAGCACTTTCTTGCATCAGGAGATACTTGATAAGCACCATCGGCACTATGTTGTGAGGATCTCTGAGTTGTTTTAGGACAGTTCCATCTGTGATCACCTTTTTTGCTACTCCTTCAAATCCTAGTAAATCCTATACCAGTTTTCCCATGGTCAGTCATATTGCCTTGCCAATTTTATTATAAAATATTGCACAACCTTTCCTAAAGTAAAGATGTAAAATCTAACAATACCAGTTTTTCCACAGCCGGGCATATTGCCTTGCCAATTTTGTTGTAAAATATTGCACAATCTTTTCTAAAGTAAAGTTTCGAGGAGCTCTGAGTTGTTTCGGGACAACGCCACCTAGTGATCACCTTTTTTTTCGCTAGTTCTACAATACTAAAATTCCAATCCAGCCCTTATTAAAGATGATCTTCCGAGTAATCAAAATATATATATTTTTTAATTTTAATATCATTGTACATCAGATCCTTTTGGTGCTTGGCCCCAAAGCACTTCGACTGATTTCATCCAAGCTCATTGTCATACACTAGAACAGATTTGATGTTAAAGAATTGTCGCTGTATATGTTCACTGTAAAAGGGATAGTTCGCCCAAAAATTAAAATTCTGTCATCATTTACTCACCTTCATTTCATTCCAAATCCATAAGATTTTCATTTATGTTCGAAACACCGTTTTTAAAGATATTTGCCCATCTTTTTGTCCGTTCATTGAAAGTCCACACAACCGAAACAAAAAGTTCATAAAGAGATTGTATAGGTATGAATCAAGTGGCTTAATCCAAGTCTTTGGATGAAACATGGCCGCTTTATGACAGGTTTATCCTTTTATTCACTTATAAAAATTGATCAGTTCACATACACATAGCTCATTAAATATGGTAAACGTGCTTGCTTGACACAGAGGAACAGTTGGATTGGACCTCATTGGATTGGATTAAACCACTCAGTTCATATGGATTATTTTTACGATGCCATTAACTTTTTGAAGCGTTTCAATCGATGGACAAAACTTTTGAGAGAATATATATATAAAAAAAAGTGTTTTGAAGACAAACTCAAGTCTTATATGGGTTTTGAGCGACATATGCTTTTTTGGGAGGTGAACTATCTTTTCAATAAACTGTTTTTCAATTTATTTTAATTCTCAAATATGCAAAACAAACAAAAATTTTGAAAAGGTCTCATACATTATCCCACAGGCAGGCTTTATGTACTTTCTTTAAATCTACCGTATAGGAATGCTTTACCTCCTCCCTTTGTTTAAATGAGGTGTGGATGGTGTGTAGCTGGATTTTCAAGGCAAATGAATACAGAATGCCATTAGATGCACCAAAAACAAACAAGTACAATTGAACAAAGCCTTCTTAATTTTAATATATTTTAATGGTCAGCTTTTATTACTCATTGGTTGTCTCATTTTCATTCCAGGAATTTCTCTCTGAAGCAGGGAGTGTCTGCATACAAAATGCTCTGCAGTTTTCTGCTTCATAGGTCAGACACTGGTTTATGTTGTTTCTGTGGCTATGCTCACTCCCATCAAAATTTGTGCAAATTTGTATAAGAATTTGCTTGCATCATTTGACACATCTGGATGAGAGATGTAGACCCTCAACTGGAATAAATATTGAAACGTATGCCATGTAACAGTTTTTGAGGGTCATATGCAAGAGCTCGTTTACAGTAGATTTGCTTAAATAAAACCCAAGACATGAGAGGATATTATGGCTGTGTGTAATGTCTTGGAGAGTGATGTCATACCCCGCTCTGCAGTAACTCTACATGAAATGCTTGTTTTTCTTTTTTCACAGATGTTATTCAGCATGATCATTTTGCTCCCGTTGTTTGCTGATTTATTTCCACAGCATTTCAACTGCTTTTTTGACATTTGCCCTAATGATAGATAATGCTCTGTGAAAGATTAAAAACAGCAACTATTGGAAAGAAAAGATAAAAAGCAATCATGAGAAATGTCTTGACTTGACTGGGACTGTTGGCTCATGATGATACCTTGTCTATGCCTTTATTCACTGATTCTGATTGTACACACTACAGATGCCTCGTCTGCCTCTTCTGCTATGAGCATGGGAAGTCCTCGCAGTGCTTTTCCCACCTCTTCCACCTCAGCTTCAGAGCGGATCGCCGCGCATGAAAGCGGCACGCCGGGAGATGTTAGCAGTCGAAGAAAAGCCGAGGTTCTGGCTGCGGAAAACAAGCATTCCAGCCGAGAAAAAGGTGGCCAGCAGACCCAGCAGCAACACCAGATGACACCCTCCAAACGGCCTGTCCTCAACATCTCGCCTCCACCAGAGGACCTGTTCGATGAGAGTAACATATCCTGCCAGGATGAGCTGCTTCTCGACTCGGAGCAGAGTAACAGCATCTGGATGGAAAACTCAGTGTCCAACTTCAGCATTGTGAGCTCCAGCTCCTACAATGACAACACTGAAGTGCCCCGCAAGGCCCGTAAGTGCACCCCGCGACAGAAGCCCGGGCCAAAGCCGGTCCCTGCTGAAGAAGCCAGTATGGATGTCTTTGATGCAGATAGTGCCAAAGGTCCACACTTTGTGCTCTCGCAGCTTGGCCCAGACAGCAAGACCTGTTCCAAAGCAAGGTGAGCTTATTTGTTACCATTGTACATGTTGGGCCTTGTAGCATTCATAAAAACTTTGGTGCTTCTTTGTTGGAGATTGGTGTGAAGGAACCAAAATACTGTATCCAATTAAAGGTGTTCCCAGCTAATAAGTGTTCTATGATCGAACATTCATTTGTTGAAGCCATCAGGCCGCATTATAACAACTTATATACAAAAAAAAAAAAAAAAAAGAAATTTCTCGGTTATGTGAATGTTAGAGACAACATTAAGGGAATGTTCCATTATATAATTTTACAAACATTACAGGAATGTTACATTTAAAAGCTCTCTGAACCAACGTCCGACTAAAATAATTCCAAAAAAAAAAAAAAGAGTTCCATAAACAATGTTTAAATGATAGTTTTCTGCTAACGTTTTGAGAGCATTATTAAAGACTAGATAATAATTGAATGAACGTTCCATTAGCGTTACTGAAAGAATGTGTTAGCGTTCCCAATAAGTTATGAAAATGTAATTTCTTAATGTTCCATTAATGTTAAAAAAAAATGTTTACAAAAAATGTTCCCTGTTAGCTGGGTTCACGCAGCTCTTTTCTAGAAAATGAAATATACATACATACATTCTAAATCACAAATATCCTAAATACTTTTTCTAAATGTCTATTTAGCATCTGACAGGAAATGTCTTAGAGACGTATTGCAGATGAGCAAACACACACATCAAATAGATGTTTCTGAGACGTATGTGTGCTAGCAGGGATGGCGACCACAGGCTGACGAGCAAGTTTTCATTTTATGTTCCACTAAAGAAAGTAAAGACTGGAATATATGACATGACTTTTAAAATCAGAAGAGCATCGTATACCTTTGGCAACTTTGTAAATGGTTACAGAGAAAAACTGGGCATCATACACTAAATTATACACTACTGAGGATCACACACTAGCAGACATTCAAATCGTTCCTAAACGGTAAAAACTCATGCAGAAACTTTGTCAGGACCTAAAATTCGGCTCAAAATATCAGATGTTTGAGGTGCTCTGACTGGATTAACTGGAATTTTCTGTAAAAATCTCTCAACTCTGACTGCTGAAAATCCACAATCTGGTTCTGACTTTCGGGGTAACTAACATCTTCTGTAACTAATCGGCGCAAAATCTAGGCAAAAAGTAATGTAGTATAATCTAGCCTCAAGTCAAACAGGTCTTGGAATGACGTGAGAGCGAGTAAATGGTGACCGAATTTTTATTTCTGAATAAATGTTCATAAACCGCAATTAAAATAGCTTTCAAGTGATGTTCACCATCTTTGTTTCATAGCTCGGATGGACCACAAGCATCTGGTCTCAAAGGTGGGATACTGTCTTGTCAGTATCCTCAGAAAAGTGAAGGGAAAGAACTGAAGATTGTGGTGCAGCCTGAGACTCAGCATAGAGCGCGTTACCTGACTGAAGGCAGCCGTGGGTCTGTGAAAGACCGAACACAGCAGGGTTTCCCTACTGTCAAGGTGGGTCACACAGAGTTATTTAAACCAAAAGAACCTACAGCAGGTTTTCGAAGAGTACTATACATTTCTTTGTGTGAAACCTTTCAATGTGGAGAAAAAACTGCCATTTTTAGACAAGTCTTATGGCTCTCACTATTGATAAAAGGATGCATGTTACTCCGTTAACCGCAAGTTTCTTGATCCTCGCAGCTTGAGGGTGTGAAGGAGTCAGTGGTCTTACAGATTTTTGTGGGCAATGATGCTGGACGTGTGAAGCCCCATGGCTTCTACCAGGCTTGCAGAGTTACAGGCCGTAACACAACTGCCTGTAGGGAAGTGGACATCGAAGGCACCACTGTCATCGAAGTGCCTCTGGATCCCAGCAGCAATATGACTCTGGCGTATGTAATAGCATGTCAACTTTGTAGAACTGCGTCAGACATTCAATCTTTATTTTCAGAGGCTGTAGTGATCAAATGTTGTTGGAAGAGTTGATGTTGACAATGACCAGCTGACATTCGGGTATCTCTACAGTGTAGACTGTGTGGGGATCCTGAAGCTCAGGAATGCCGATGTGGAGGCCCGTATTGGGGTGGCTGGATCTAAGAAGAAAAGTACCCGCGCCAGACTGGTGTTTCGAGTCAACATCCCTCGCCCGGATGGCTCTGTGCACACATTACAGACCTCGTCGTCTCCCATACTGTGCAGTGAGTGGCTTTGGGTTATTCATAGCATCTCCCTGCTGGCGAGCCCAGCTGGTGCTCTCATCACATAGGAGAGGTAGGGATTAGAGGAGGGGATAATGAATGTTTATATTATTAAGGCCATAGAGCCAAAAAAAAGAAAGAAGAATGAATCCAAGGCAGAGCATCAGGTGCCTACTGAAGAGAGCTACTAGGGCTGTGATGAATTGCACTACTTTGTTTTGAAATTGAATTTCTGTGTCACCAGCAAGTAGAGGAGTATTTCAGGTTGATTGTAATTTAAGTTCCGCTGACACCATCTGTAGCATTCTGCTGATTATACAGGAAATTATGTTGATTGTGTTAATAAGGACAGAAAACTTGGGATTTTAAAGGATTAGTTTATCCAAAAATGAACATTTGCTGAAAATGTACTCACCCTCAGGCCATCCAAGATGTAGATGAGTTTGTTTCTTTATCTGAACAGATTTGGAGAAATGTAGCATTACATCACTCGCTCACCAATGGATCCTCTGCAGTGAATGGGTGCCGTCAGAATGAGAGTCCAAACAGCTGATCACCATAATCCACAAGCAATCCACACCACTCCAGTCCATCAATTAACATCTTGTGAAGTGAAAAGCTGCGTGTTTGTCAGAAAGAAATCCATCAAGACATTTTTAGCTTCAAACCGTTGCTTCCTGCCAAAATATGAGTCCTCTATTCATAATATTGCCATAATATAAGTTGTTTCGCCTCAATCAGGAGAGAAATATGCACAGATCAATCATTGTTTGCAAGTGAAAACAGTTCTAAACCAATATATTGGTGGATTTTGATGTCAGAGGACAACAGGGGTTTGATGTTTTCACTGGAAGAAGCTTTATTATGGATTATGGACTCATATTTTGGCCCAAAATGATGGTTTAAATAAAAAAAAATGTCATAATGATTGATTTGTTTCTTACAAACATGCAGCTTTTCACTTCACAATACATTAATTTATAGACTGGAGTTGAGTGGATTTCTTGTGGATTATTGTGATGTTTTTAGCTTTTTGGGCTCTCATACTGACGGCACCCATTCACTGCAGAGGATCCACTTCTGAGCACTTCTGGCTATGCATTAACAGCATAATGCCTGTGTTCCTTCATGGTTTCCTTCTGTGGCTTCAAAGCAAAAGTAACCAGGTTTTTCACTAGTCACAAGCTGATTTGGCTATATGGCTTTGTTGCTATATGGCCCAGATATAATGTCAGATGTGCGGAAACTAAATATTTAGTCATGGTCTGCTGCACAGAAACATGACTGTGTAACCTGACTGTTACCTGACTGTGTAACCTAATGGTCGCTTTCTCTCTTTCTCCGATTGATTCTGCTTTTATAGCCCAGCCTGCAGGTGTACCTGAGATTCTCAAGAAGAGTTTGCACAGCTGTTCGGTTAACGGGGGGAGTGAAGTCTTTATTATTGGAAAAAACTTTCTCAAAGGAACCAAGGTCATATTTCAGGAGAATGCTTCAGGTATCTTTACATGTTAAAAAGTATCATGTCATTTTCTATGCAGACTTTTCCTCTTTAACCTCTGCCTCTTTGACTGTAGCAGATGACAAGTCCTGGAAGGCAGAGGCTGACATTGACATGGAGTTTTTCCATCAGGTAAGCCATAGCGTCTGCTGTGTCTATTATTTGACTGTGTGGGCTGATCAAGCATGGCAAAAATAGAGACAGCTTTGCACATGTCACAGACACTGGTGTCCCCAATTGTTGCCTGACAAGTGTTTTGAATATATCTGTTTTTGCAGTGACTTGCCCTAAAATGTCATCAGTGATCTTGGTCATTTTCAGTGTTTTTTGTAAATATATTGGGTGCTTCTACAGCTAGCTCTATTATACTTACGCAAAGGGTCCAAAATGTACACAAATGTATGAAAAAATTGCAAAAAAATAGATGACTAAATGCACGGTCTGACATCTCATTTGATTTACAGGTAATTTGAGTGAATTTTATCAAAATGTCTGATATTCTCCTTTGAAGTCCCATAAAGTACACAAACCATTAAATTGTATATATACCAGGCACTTGTAATTGCTGCTCATTATTGATGTTATGATGAGAAAAATAGTCAGATTTAACTGTAATAAGTACATAAATAAACTGCAATTTTTTAATCTTTGACTTTCTCCCCTTTTAGAATCACCTTATTGTCAAAGTCCCTCCATATCAAAATCCAGCTATCACATCTCCTGTATCTGTTGGTATCTATGTTGTTACGAATGCTGGACGATCCCATGATATTCAACCATTTACATACACTCCAGAGCCAGGTCAGTTTAATCTCCACCGTAAGCATGAGTCTTAAACACAACAGATTTGCCAAAAAGTGTTTCCCAACCCCGTTCTTGGAGGCTCACTTTGGGTGTCTCCCTTATCGAACCTATCCATATGAGGACTTGGAGTCTCTACTAATGATGAGTTGAATTGGGTGTGTTTCTTTTGGAAGAGTTTGAAAATGTACAGTGGGTGTGCCTCAAGGAACAGAATTGGGAACCATTCATAAATATCACTGATCTAGAAACATGCTTTTTTTACAGTTGTCGATTCTTCTGTGAAAAAGGAAGTCTTGCCTCCAGTGACACCTTGTTGTTTTGAACAAATGAAAGGTGAGCAAACATCTGTGCCTATTAGCATTACAGAATATTGCTCAATGACAGCCAGGGTTATGTAAGTGTCACTGGCCCTCTGTCTTTTGTTTCATATAGTAATCGATACTGCTTTGATGACGCCGGTTTTGCCTCTTGTTAAACGAGAAGAGGCCACTCCAATGGAGGTCTCCAGTAACCCCTCGGCCTTCAAGGTTTGTACAAATCACAAGACAGATACCACCACAATAAAGCAGTACTGCATGAACCATTTCCGTATATTTTGATAAATGCCTATGTCTATCCTGTTTGTAACCCATCAGACCTCTGAAGTCATCAATTCCGCCCAGCAAGCCTTAGATATGAGTGCTGAGATCTCCACCAATAACTGCAAATTTTCCAGTCCGCTGATACACCAAACAAGAGAACAGGATCAATCTCAGAATTCTGTCTTTTCCAACAAAGAACCATTCAGCACCATCCAGGAACAGAATCTTGCACCCAGTGGCTCTTTCCATGTGCCTAATAAATCTCTTCTTCAGCAAGGAGTTCAGCCATTCCTCTTGGAACACAGAGAGAGTCTTGGACAGGAGAGGACAGGCAACAGCGGCAGTTCAGTGGTGGGGCTCTCCCAGATTGATGAGAACTCACAGCAGCAGCTCTCACTTCTACCTCCAGATGAGGTGGCACAACTGGAGCAGGCCGTGCGGCAGTTGCAAGCGAAGGGGTTCTGCAACATCCATCTCCAGAGTGAGAATTCACTGTCAAAACAAAGACACCATCAACTTCAACAGCAGCATCAGCAAATTCAACAACAGCAGCAGCAAATCCAGCAGCAACAACAGCAAATCCAGCATCAGCAGCAGCACATCCAGCAACAAGAGCAGCAAATCCAGTTGCAGCAGCAGCAACACCAGCAACAGCAAGCTCTGGAGAACCTTCAACATCAGCTCTTTCAGCCCCAGGTTCAAATCCATTGTACTTCAGAGCAGCAGAGCTCTTCCCAAGGTATGGTTCAGAATGGAAGCTCCCTCTTCCAGCAAACCCCATCACAACAACAGCAGCAGCAACAAGCATCCTTGTTTCAACAAGCAACTGGCTTTCTTCAGCAGCAACCCAGTCATTCCTCGCCTTCCCTGTTTCACAACCCTACGGCCATGACCGAAGCCCAAAGCCCACAGGAGGCTCTTTTCCACTCACAGAAGACCTCACCCAATCAGGATCAGGTCCAAGCTTCCCTTTTCCAAAGCAATCTGACGGTTCTCGGTGGGTCCAACATGTCTGCGGAAGCTCAGCCCTCTGCAACCAGTATGTTTCTTTCCCAAAATGCCATACCAGGTCAACTTGCTGTTAACGCCGGCCAGCCACAGCAACTAGCCTTTCTCACTTCTATGCAGACATCTTCTCTCGAGGCACCATCTGTATTTCAGACTCCACCCCAACTGTCACCACAGCGTGCACAACCTGGCTCCATGTTCCAGAGCATCTCCCAGTCACCAAGCAAACTCCCCCATGGTCAGCAGCAGCAGGCTGGCCTACTCCTCGGTTCCTTAAATTCTCCAGTGACACAAGAGCAAACCTCCAATCTGTTATTTGGTGGCCAAGTCCAGATAGGATCGATGAACAACAGCAGCCTAGCTTCTCCAGAACAACAGAACACTTCCCTTCCCTTCTCTCAGGCCGGCATGGTTACGGTCAGGCAGCAGGAGTCGTCTGAACCCATGACATTTCAGGATCAGACTACTATGGTGGTCAGCCCCTCCTCGAATAAGCCCATTTTCCAAGACCAGCAACCAATGCAGTTGGCACCAAGTTCTGGTACAGCCCCTTCACAGTCTGTAAACCTCTTCATGGCCCAGTCCAGCATTCAAGGGGGAATGGCTTCTCAAGAACCCCTTTTTGCACAACAGAGTGATGTAAGCCGAATTCAGACTAGCACTTCCTCTCCAGTACAACAGCCTGGTCAACTCTTTCAGACCACAGTGAGTGGAAGTCTCAATCAGCCCAACCAGAATCAGCAGCCAGACCTATTCCTCTTTGAGATTCAGAACGGTTAGTCAATATTCTTTAACATACTTCAGGGCTCAACGCTAAGGATTTTTTCTACTCACCCGGTCGGGCCAGTGGTTCATGTTTTTACTTGCCCTGCCACAAAAAATAAAATAGTTGTTATCGTTGTTTTTGACCCATGTTATGTTTTATTCTAATAAATAAGCTTATACGACACCAACATTTTAGATACCAATTCAGTTTGACAATTTTCGATTCCAATTTTGATACCACAGCAAAAACTACTAGCCTAACAAATATAAAGTTCAAACATTATTAAAGACAATTGAACAGTCAGTAAATAAGAACAAATTAACAAATTACAAGCAATAGCACAATTAAATATATAGAAAAAAGTTACAAATGAAATTTAGTTTTTTATGTTTGTAGGTGTTTAGCTACAGATATTGAATAATCACGTGTAAAATAACATTGCATATTCTTCACTCAGTGATGCACCGATCTTGATTTTTCATGGCCAATTCTGATTGCCTATTCTTTTTTACAAGCAAATTGCCTGATTGATTTTTTTTTTAACATTTATTTAATTTTTTTATGCAAGAGACAAGAAAGAATGAAAATGTGAGTACCTGAACAAAAGGTTTATTAGCACTATTACAGTCCATTTGAAATTAGAGGCAACCACTTGATTGATTGATCAAAAAAAAAAAGAGATGCTACACACATTTAGCATGAGAAGTTTTTGATTTAAAGGTGTGTGTGTGTGTGTGCGCGCGCACGCGCGTGTGTGTGTGTGAGAGAGAGAGAGAGACTTAACCGCGGCTTGTGTACTGCATCATTACTGTGTCTGTTCCCCTTTCGGGCTTGAACTGATGGTAAAACTAATGACATTATTTACTGTCTTTACATTTATTTTGAAAGCTGAAGCTCGCGATTATGGTAAGGGGCGTTACATTTCCGACGAGTGCTTGCGGTGTTCGGCCAATCACAATGCACTGGGTCAGCTGGCCAATCAGAGCAGACTGCGCTTGTCAGAAGGAGGGACTTTGTAGAAAACGAAGCGTTTGAGAGAGGCGGGGCATAGAGGACCTACAATAATGTACAGTATTTGAAAAATAATGTGTTTTTTGAACATTAAAGCATGTCAACATATTCTGTTACACCAAATACACAAAATAATGATCTTTAAAAAAGCATCATATGACCCCTTTAATTTGATTGTGTAATTTAAAAAATTAAAGCAGAAACAGAATGGTCTGTCTTCACTCTCTGACAGCAGGTGGCGCTTATGGAACAGCAGCGATACAGCGTTTCCTTGGTTACCGCTGTAAACAAAGCAACACTACAGTAATATGCATTATACAGAGACGAGATGAAAAGAAAATAGCATCTAAACTTTCCTGAAAACAGCCTGTTCCCCTCAGCGATACATTCATATAAACCCCCACCCCCAATTCAATATTTCGCGCATTGTGAGTTTGTTCTGCCTGCAACAGTATTTTCTCCTCTTTGCGTCCATCTTCAGCATTTCTGGCCTCTGTTAACGGCTGTTTACAGACTTTGTAATATTTTCACACAAATGTCATTTTAGAAAATGATTGCATTGGATGCAACAAAAATGGCCAGTTGACCGGTGCATCTGTAGCCTACTCCACCGTATAAATTAAATATAGATTAATCATTGTTAAAGCTACAAAGTTACTCGCCAAGACGGGTATTTCGACATACTTTTGTATGTATTTGTCCATTCAAGCGCAAGAAGACGCGGAAAGAAACTCGAGGCTTGCGCGTTGTGTGCTCGCTGTGCACACAGAACACAGCGTGTGAGTACTGAATGGAGTTGTCTTTTGCTTCTTGCTTGAATGCTTTAAAATCGCTTACATTTTTTAGCAAGGCTTAAAAACACGTGAACAAACTTTAGTGGCGATGCAGCAGTGGGGGTGGGGGTTTATCTGACCAGTGACAAATCCGTCAACTGTCCCGAGCATCTTTCACGCTGGCCCCGGATCCTTATTGTCGAGCTCTGTACTTGCTTTAGACCTGTTTGACTCATAATTCAGAGCCATAAGTCATTCTAACGATTTCTTTCCTGCAGAATGCAGTCAGCTGATGAACAGCCAAGGATCTACACTTTCTGATCAGATCATTGCCATCAATCAGTCTGGACAGAGTCAGCAAGAGAGTGAGGGGCAAATCCAGTCTTTACTTGGGCAGTCCATGCCAGACCCTGGAACTGTGCAGAGCACTTTGACAACCTCTCAGAACATGGAGAAGATTGACGACCTTCTGGTGAGCCTACAGGAGCAAAGCAATAACATCTCACACTCCTACTAGGGCTTTCAAGGTGTAGCTGCCCAAAATCTCCATTCCATATGTGATTGTAGATATTTCTTGCACACGTCTTGGATAGTCGTGTATCCTCTATTTTGAATATTTCAAGAATATGGAGATATTTTGCTCAGACCCCTTAAAAGAAATAGCAAGACAGAGTAAGTCATTCACTTTAGACATTGACACTGAGAAAGTAGAGTCGCCTGTTGAAAGATCTGTCAGAATCACAAGTCAATCCATGATCTACAACTTCAGTTTTGACCTGCAATTCTCCAGAACCCTCTGGAGAACCTCAATGCATCTTTTCAAGAGGAGCATTTCTCTGAGGAACTAACAAAATGCAACCCATATGTTCCTGCTATAAAGACCGTCATTAGTTCCGCAGCAACCCCATCATAAATAAAGGCTTTGAGGCATTTGAAATATATATTGAAGTTGCTTGAGTACACAGTAGGATATTTGAGGCACCTGGAAACCTAGAGATTCCCCAGAGGGTTTCTCTGGTGTGGCAGTCTGAAGAACTGAAACGCTGCCTCGAGTATCTCTTTATTTTTTACAGTGACAGAAAGCATTTTGAGAAGATCAGGACACATGGGATGACTGCAGTTATGCCTGAACATGATTTGTAGACACTCCACTTTCTCAGTGAGCCTTGGATAACTTTGTGATACCGATTTTTAGCCGTAAACTATAATCAAGAATGCTCGATAGAAGCAGTCTGCAATTGAGATTTTTATTTTGTAAACATACATTAATACCTTTCTGTCTCATTACACTTGAGTATCTATAAGCTATTTTCTTTTGGAGAAATATTTTATTCAGTCAAATGGGGAAAGAAAATATCTAAGTGAAAAAAAAACGTGTTTTGGCATTTTCCTTCTAGCACTTTATATATGTTTTCAGTGTGGTTAGTTACTCCTGACTCATTGACATCTCAAAACATGTTTACTGTATAACTAATTCTAGTGTCCTTCATCTCAGTCTATTCAGTCTATTTTAGACTAACCCGTATAATTCTACCAATTAGAAATGTACATTCCTGCTTTAAAAAAAAGCAGATATCAGTAATCTGAAAAACAATTTGCTTCTGATATTTATGTTTGATTTTGGTTTACACGAGTCATTTCTTGCCATCTCATTTTGCTTGGTGTCTGCTTTGTTTTGCATGTCTGAGTGTCCTATATACATGCGTATGTGTGACATTATTTTATGATAATACCTCTAAAAGTGTGTCATTGTTCAATTTATTCTTTTACTGATTCTAAAATATTGATAGTTCATGCGTATATCATTTTGTGTCATTGTGATGGGTTATTTTATTTACCAGTGTCTGGTACGCTGGAACAAGGCCGATTGTTTTTATTGGCAAATCAGAAGGGAGTGTCCAACCAGTATTATCGACAAGTTCTCTGAACATGCTGGCATACAGTAAATACAAATGCTGAATATGCTGGGGAAGCTACCCTTTATCTTTTGTAGCAGAAATATTTGTTTGTATCAATTTTCAAAATTTATAGCCAATAAATAGCCATTGGCATGTCAAAACCGAAGACCATGTTAAACATTTGATCTGCTTTTTCAAAAAATTGGCCATTTTTGTGGCTCAGGTGGTTCAATGTTTGTATATTCGGTTATGAAGTGAGTTTGTTTTGAATGTAGAGAAACATTATGTGAGCTATGTATTTCTGGTAATGTCAAGCTCATGTATGTGTTCTAGCATCAGACGTGATGTAAAGCTGCCAAACTAGTTTGAATATTAGGCTGATGTGAAGTTAGTTGGCAGATTGTCTTGTTGTTAGCTTCAGGATAAATATATACATTATGAGGGAGCTGTTCTCTGTAATGTCACAAAAATGGCTCATTTGAGCCTGCTATGGTATTCAATGTCAAATTTTTGACCATTTTCTTTGCTCAGAACCTTGGGTGATTTTTATGCCTACTTTTTAGTAGAGACTATTTTATCCTCTTTTTGGAAAAGTTTTGCTTGAAGGGTGCTCTCGTATATCTCTGCATGGGGAAGAACTGTGAACAGGAACCGAAAAAAGAGTTTTTTTGTGATTTATCGTCATCTCTGTACAATACTAATTGTTGTTGCTTTTCATAATAGTCCATATTTATGTGAATATTTACTTTTTCACCATAACTCTTTTTAGAAAATATTTATTTTTGTGTCTCAAGAATTTTCACAATTAGAATCAATGCCTTGATTTCAATTAAAATGCATAATTACGACATATATATATATACACTGAACAAAATTATTTTTTTTGCCATTTACCATTTTTCATGAGCTGAACTCAAACATCTAAGACTTTTTCTATGTACACAAAAGGCCTATTTCTCTCAAATATTGTTCACAAATCTGTCTAAATCTGTGTTAGTGAGCACTTCTCCTTTGCCGAGATAATCCATCCACCTCACAGGTGTGGCATATCAAGATGCTGATTAGACAGCATGATTATTGCACAGGTCTGCCTTAGGCTGGCCACAATAAAAGGCCACTCTAAAATGTGAGCCTAAGGCACACCTGTGCAATAATAATGCTGTCTAATCAGCATCTTGATATGCCACACCTGTGAGGTGGATGGATTATCTCGGCAAAGGAGAAGTGCTCACTAACACAGATTTAAACAGATTTGTGAACAATATTAGAGAGAAATTGGCCTTTTGTGTACATCTCAGCTCATGAAAAATGGGGGCAAAAACAAAAGCGTTGCGTTTATAATTTTGTTCAGTGTAGCTCCCTCGCCTCCACCGTCACCCATCGATCCACCAGCTCCGCTCCTCCGGCTGCACCTTGTTGCTCAGTCCCACCGGCTCTATTGGGCTCCTTCCTCCTGCCAGCTCCACCTTGGTCCTCAGTCGCTCCGGCTC